ACAACGTTATTCTGGTTGCCGATAGTTCTGTTTTATGACGCTACTAAAAATAATGTTGTCTAACTAGCCCAACTGCACATTTTCAAATTGAGAAAAAGTTATAAAAAAAATAAATTAGTTTTCTTATAAACAGTACGCAGCGAGACAATGGACATTAGCTTCTGTAACTCTTCACTCTTCGGTTATGTACTACCCAACGGCGGATCAGGGGGGGGGGAGGATCATGGGGTCATGATCCCTCCTGTGTTGGTTAGTCGAGAGCTTGACAAAATATATTTACATATTTTGTCAAGCTCTTGAGTTGACCACGGCGACGATGATCCCGGCCCCGCTGGCGCCAAAGCTAGATCCGCCCTTGGTACTAACCCCGACCGAATCGGACCTTTAATAGATTTTTATATGTTTACCACGGACCTATATCTCAGACGATCTCGACTTCGACACCTATTTAAATAGAATAAAGAGTAGGAACATCTCTTACCTTCAGGATACCTTGGGGTGCTGTTTATTTATATAATGTTTTTGTTTTGACTATGGATGAAGTCGCATAAGTGCCGAGTAAGGTCAGCATATAGATCAGATTTAAATTAGACAACTTGTTTACTTCAAATTCTTAAATAAAATACAGATTCCAAATCCAATACTAAATCAAAATAATCATAGTAATGTTTGTTATAAATGAATGAAAATTCACATGGATTGTTAGAGTTTGTAGCCCAAACGGCTGTACGGATCTTGATGAAATTTGATATGGACGTAGAGGATAAGATGGAAGAACACACAGGCTACTCCCTTTTGTTTTTTTTATTCCACGCGGACGGAGTCGCGTGCGAAAGCTAGTCACAGAGTGATCATTGATTAGTATATATAATCTATATCATACAAATGTTATTAAGAGGAAAGATTTGTAGTTTTGTATGTATTGAAATAACTCAAAAACTACTGGGACGATTTAAAAAAATCCACCATTAAAAAGCTCCGTTATCAGTGAGTAAGGACATATTTGTTAATTTGAAAGACAAAAATAAAATTGACCAAATTTATCAAAACCGATAGTTTTGGGAATATAAAAGGTGGCTGCCCTCCCTTTAGCTTTAGACTAGATTATCGGCTGGCGATGCCCATAATCGTTACCATTATCACTCACAAAAAACTTTCTTTTACTAAAAAATGTAGTTATCTATTGCGGGCATTCACCATTGCATGGTTAACTATGCGTCGTATACTCGTAGTAACTCCTTCGAAAGTGTCTACCATTTGCATGAATTAAATTTATTTAGTCATCATTTAGAATAAATTTAAATAACATGAAAAAACGCTTTTTATTACAAAAATACAGTTTATTTTTATTTCTGTAAATATTTTTCTTGTAAATCAACGATTCAAATATAATTATTTTTTGAATTACGAGCTGTCGCCCGCAAACTTCGTTATTGCAAAACAGCTATCTTCCAGTCAAATTCCCGTCCAAATCGGTCCACCCGTTCCAGAGATAGTCTGGTCTGTCTGGTCTGTCTAGTCTAGTCGCCAATTTGACAGCACGTAATTAAAAAAAATGTAGCCTATAATATGCCCGTCCGTGTCATGTTAAAATCAACCCAGCCGTTTTGGAGATTACCCGGAACAAACGCGGCTTGCAGACAGACAAACAGACAAAAAAAATTAAATGCGATTTTCGCTTTCAGCATCGCAAATACATCATCTTCCCGAAATCTGGAATTTTTCTTTTGGTATTACGCACAGACTCTTCAATTTTATTATATACATAGATGCCGTTTCCATCTTCAAGTCGACTTTTTGCTTTTTCCTTATTGTATTCTTTGTTTTTTTTTTACATAATTTTCGCGGCATTGCATACACTTACCAAAAAAAAGCGATAAAGCGCGAAAAAAAGCAAACGTCAACACTTACAACAGATTCATAAATATGTCACAGAGCCAAAACTGTTTACACGCTTAACCAATTGAATAGATAATATTCTCCTTTTGGTAGTTTATGTATGTAGTAAATGGTATTGTGCCCAACTTTATTAGTAACTGAGGTAGGTTTATATAGCAAAAAGTGGATTCGAGAAAGTATTTTTAACTTTCCATTATATTCATGTCTGAATGAGAACCGCCGGCTGTTAGCTTGTAGCTTCGCAATCTGTTATTCGTCTCTCTTCAAGTAATATTTATTTAAGAATGAGATTATTTTTTTCCATCTGAATTTATTTAGAAGCATATTATAACGGTTTTTATGCGTTGGAATAGGATTTAGTTTCAATAAAACTAGGAATTAACGATAATTTTATGCCAATTACTGGACAATTAATATTAATAAATCATCAAAAACATATTGCCCTATCATGTAATAAATAATAATGTTGGAGTTCATACAAATTACGTATTCAATGCTTTGGTACTTCATTCTTTATTTTTGTAGAAAACTCTAATAAAAGTATTCTTACAATAATCATATTATCAACAAAAAGTTGTTTGTGTGTTGCCAAATGGAAATTGGTACTTTATTACCCGCAATTTTCTATAACGTGAAAATCTTGAATTTCGACACTATCTTTTAATATATGGTATCTAAAGCTGGTAGGTTTGTAAGCGCCTGAAAATTTAGTGCCGCAATATATTGAATGGAAATTTTTACAACATATTCCAATACCAACAGGCATCCAAGGGGTTAGTTCAATTTTTTACTTGTATCAAGTCGATTGAAAACTGATAAAAAATGCTAAAATCGAGTAGGTATATAGTGCTTATTCAATTTTTTATTAGTATTATATGTTCACAGTTAATTTTAATGAAATACTACAAGTACAATTTACTGTGAACTTAAAACATGTTTGATGTAATTAATTAATTCGTCTTACAATTTTCTTACTCATTTTCGTAAAGCTAATTATTACAATTTTTCCAAAAGATTAAATTTTTCTAATAAAACAGTTTTAGCGCCATCTGTTGTTAGAACAAGTTTTTTATACAAATTGTAATTTGCAATGCAGTTCTTTTGTTGTCAAAGTAGTACGATAGATGTCACTTCCACTTATTATTCTATTAAACTTCTAAACATTATTAAATTCATAATACATTTACCTTAAATTTCTTTGTTTCTAAATATCTATTTATTATAGAATATTAAAAATAACAATGTACAATGTTATTTTTAATATAAAATATTAAGTATTAACGTTTTGCTAGAAAGGATTTTTAAATCAATAATAACGTTTTATCGTTATATATTTATAGTGGGTGACAATCGACTTAATACTGTTGCTTTCTTTAGTAAAGTTCGTAACCCCGGTGATCATTAAAGGCAAGCTGACTTCGGGATAACATCCGGGCGGCAGCGCAGAGTTATTCCCAGCGTGG